CGGTCAGAAGACATAGAGTGGCAGAATGGATAAGAAAACAGGATCCTTTAATATGCTGCCTCCAAGAGCTATGTCAAATAGAGACAACAGAAATGCCCATCAACTGAATGCTTAAGCGAACTTTGGTACGTACATATAATGGCATACTCTGCAATGTTGAAGTGATAATGAATCTGTAAAACACTTCACAACATGGATGAACCTGAACATTACGCTGAGTGAAATTAGTCATAAAAGGATAAATATTGTATGAGACCACTGTTGTAAAAAGTAAGGAAAAAGTTTTCTTGATGAAAGAAATATTCTGTGATAGTTCCAATTCATAAAGACCCCATGTGGTGTTTCCAAGGCTGCAGATTTTTCTCCTGTGGAGCAGCTGGTGGGTTTGAATTGCTGACCTTGTGGTTAGCAGTCCAGTGTTCATCCTACAGCACCACCAGGGTGCCTTATTAGAGGCCTACTAGGTTAAATAAATGATTTGCGCTGAGCTGTTGTTGTTGTTGAGTGCCGTTGAGTTGGTCCCGACCCTGTATAGGGTTTCCCAGGAGCCACTGGTGAGCTTGAGCCGCCAACCTTGCGGTTCCAAGCGACTTTGCAGTCCAGCGCATTTATCCACAGCGCCACTGAGGAGGGGCTAAATTTCAATGGCGCTGTCTTAGTTGTTTTTAAATATCAGTGGGTACCAAAGCAGTCAACGGAAATACATGATGAATCTCTCATTCTTTATCAAGAAGTCAGAGTTGATTTTGTACTAATTTAAAAAAATCAGATTTCTCTGTTTCTTCACTTGGATTTATAGTACCTTTGACTGTTATATGGTGATAGCTTATATAGCTTATGCAAAAGCCCAATGGTAGTTTATAAAATGATTTTATTTAAGTGGATGAAATGTAATGAGGAATGTAATTTGATTTCTTTGCCGTGATGACCACCTGTATGTGGTTTTGATTTACATATATATTGAAATACCTCTTTGAATCTTGAGTGCATATTCTGATGGCTTTGGAGTTCTGTTTATGGTTTTTCTGTTACACAGTGGTATGTGAACATGGTATTGATTCTAAAAACAGCAGTATTGTAAGATGTAAAATGCTTTCGGCAGCCATCAGGTGACAGTTTTGACACTTCTGGCCTTTTCTAAGAATGGATTTACTTGTATTCTAGCGCAACAACTTCTCTGGGGATACTCAGGTAGGAGAACGCTGTGTGCACTCTAAGCCTGGTGTTCTTTGTATTTGCTTATCTGAGTCCTGTTTTTCCATTTACTCAGTAGCTAGAAATTATTGCAACAGTTTTTTTTTTTTCTTTAATAATAACTACTAAAGGAGAGAGGAAACTATACCAAGATAAGGATTGTTAGAAGTACCACAATAAAACTACATTTAAATGAGTTGGACACATCATTTCATCAAACATTTAATCTCAGATGAAAACAATGTGATTTGTATTTTAAGCTGTAATATTTAATGGGAAAGTATCATATGAATACATCGCTGTTATAAGATAGACACACATATATCTATCTTAAGTTTAGGAAGATAGTGGGCAGGCATTTGGGGCCTTGAAGACCTCATGGGTGACATTGTTGGCCTGGCTCAGTTTGCTGACGTGGCTGCTGGTGGCATCAGATGCCAGCTCTTGACTGCTGAATTCTAGGGGGCCTGGGAGGTCGTTCTCAAAAGGCCAGTGCCTGGTGTGTAATTGTACCAACTGTCATCTTAATTTTTTTTTTTTTTTTTTAATAAAAAAAAAGGTTTTGACTCTATTGATGGAATTATTTTCCCCAGCTTCCTTGGAGAGTTAGGGGATGGTGAGGGTTTTTTTCTCAACAAATTGTTTTACGGTGATGATTTTTGGAGCTAATCAATTCTTTGAAGCGAGCTGTATCTATATTAAAATTAATCATCCCACCAATTCATTAGAATAATGGAAATTTGTATAAATCTTAAACTTGTGTCCAGGCCTCTCTTGAAAATGGCCCCTGTTGTGCAGAGCTAATATTATGAGGGGGCTTTGAAAAGATCTTAGAGAAATGGAATGAAAAGATAATGGGATTTTCCCATGAACTTTTCTCTTCCCCCCATGCGTTATATTTTCAAAGGTTTAACCAGCATACACAAGGGGCTTCCAAACGTGCATGGGAAAATGTCTTTTAATTCCATTTTCCACGAACTTTGCTAGGGCTTCTGGTGTTTTATATGGTGTGATTAAAGTGTAAAACACCGTTTACTTTCAATTTAAACACCCTTGTTTCAGTGACATAAACAGCATATGTACTGGGAACGATCTGAAGAAGTCAGCTCAATGCGGTGATTATTGCGATAATCTGAATAGGTTTTGGACGCTCCTATTCGCTGCTAATCTCACGGTCAGCAGTTCGAAAACTACAGCAGTAGGTAGAAATATGAGGCTTTCTGCTCCCGTAAAGATTTACAGCCTCGGAAACCCTGTACGGGGTCGCCACCAAACATAACAACAACAACATGCAATGTGGAAACTGGGCAGTAAGCAGTAAACAACTCTTAACAACTCTGCTGATTGCCCGAGGACCTTTGGTCCCTGCGCTATTAGTTAGCCCCGTGAGAGTGTAGTGCGACCACCAGTCGGCAGGAGGCGCTGCTGCCTATGCGGAGCGCCTGCGCAGTGCCTCGCTAGGGAGGTGGCTTATCTTCACAGTAGGGCGGTGCTAGAACTCATTAACAACCATCAGTATAGCCATTGTTACTCTCATTGTGCAAGGAAATTAGAGAAAGCAACAAGGAGCTCGCTCTCTCGCTGGCTGGTGGCCTTGATCTTGTACCTCAGCCACTAAGCCTGAGTCTGGTCAAGAATAGGCACCGCTCCACCAAGTAAACCATTCACAAGGCCTACAGAGTTCTTGCGGACATCGCTTTCAGATCGCCAAGTTCAGATTGACTTCCATCCCTGTTGAAGATCTTTCTCAAGCTGCTTACTAAACATAAAGCAGCTTCGAATCAATTCACTGTCTTGAAGTTACAGTTTTCATCAGGAAAGGATAGAGCTGAGGAAGAGTACCAACTCGTAAAATCTCTTTCTAACTACAATAATATTTGATAATACTTCAAATAAAAGTTTTCGCTAGGAACAAGTTCAGTATTATTACCTCATTTAAAATGCTGATAATTTTAAAGGCTAGGTCACAAAAACAAAGTAATTTGTTAACAGACGATTTTAAATGATTGCCTTCCTACATTTTCTCTCTCCTTTATTGTTTTCCCATCATTTCTCTTTAGTTGACCATGACTGTTTTGTTAGTTAGTTGCATGCTGTATGTGGGGTGTGTGCATATGTGTTGAATTGGTGTCTGATTTATTTTTTAATAGTAGGTAATTGTCCTAAAAATAAAGTATGTGTTTTACAAATTGTCAAGTTTCATGCAGGGACATTGGGTAGCATATTTCTAAAATGCATGCTATGTGACAACATTTAACGTAGGACAAAGTGTGGTGCTTATTTCATTGTTTTTTTGAGTGTAAATTCTAACCTGTTTTCTATCTTTAGTTCTTACTTCTGGTGTAACTGTTCTGGTATGGTTAACTTGATTCCCTAAGGAGTTTTAAAGAACCTTGTCAGAAACTGTATTTTAATGGGACTCATAGACTAAGGAGCCTACATTAATCATATTGCTGACGAGACTTTATAATTTCTTAAACACCTTATGAGAAGGGAAACATCACTATTTAGCTTACTTGTGAGGAGTTAGTGTTTAACTGCTAGGCTGCTAATTGATAATGTTGGCTGTTCGAACCCAGCAGCCGCTCCACAGGAGAACGATGTGGCAGTCTGTTGACAGCCCTGGACACCTGGAACAGTTCTCCTCTGCCCTAGCAGGTCTCGGGGTGTCCGAATCGGCTCAGTGGCGTTGGGTTGGGTGTAGATGTACCTTGCTATAGATTGCACAATACAGAAACTGAAAACACCTTGAATTTGGCTACTAATGCCGTGTTAAAAGTTGAAAAGGAGTCCTGATGTAGTGCTTTGGGATTAGCATTAATCTACTAAGGAAAAGGTTGGCAGTTCAAACCCACCTGCCACTCCTACTCCTTGAAAATTCTATTCAGCACCTCTCTGAGTGAGAACCATCTCCATGGCACTTAAATAATAACAACATCAAAGTTGTAAAAGGGTGCCATTGCTTAAATCTCTATTTCAGTGACTTAAAAAAGAACTATTATCTTATTGTGGTGTGAAGGTACTTTTCTTTGTGAAAAGGAAAATGCTTTTTCTACTGTAGGGATATACAGAAGTCTATAGACGTCACCCTCCCCTCCCCACCCTTTTTTCCAGATGAGAAAATTCGAGCCTAGAAGTAAAAAATTGTATATGAATTAGGGATCTAGTTAACACTTGAAAAGAAAACTCTTAAGTCTCCTCCTTGCTTCAGTTTCCAAAGTGATGGGATTTAGAATCCATGCCTGTGCGATCTGAGATCACAGAGAGCCCTTCTCTTTGCACAGTGCAGCCATGCAACTTCTCAAACCCTTCAGAGATTGTAGTGTCATTAAAAATAAACTCAGACTGCATATGTTTATAAAGTATTCACCCTGACGTAAAACGATGATGCTTATGTAAACTTGATCTGCATTTTCCTTGGTGCTTTAGTTTGTGGGAAAATGGGCCCTAAAAGTGACTTCGCACGTCGACTGCATTTGCAGAATATTATAGGATAGTTTCTGAAGTACATTTAAATATACTGCATGCGTTTTATTTTAAATCAGCAATTTCTAAAAGGATTCACTCGCCCTTATTCTAAGTAGGGATTTCTGTATGCATTCCCTTTCATTATTATGGAAACAATGTTTAGCCTGTGTGTGCTGAACTTTTGCATTTTTTATAATATACTTTGTAGGACTTCAAGAGACATTTTAATACGATGTAATCTTTGAAAATAGAAAATGAAGTAAGCTGTATTTGTAAGCTCATATTTATAAATAAGTGGAACTATATGTATTTATACCATTTCTGTCTGTGATTTGCAGGAAGACCCTGTACTCAGCTGCAACTTCTCAGTCCAGAGCGCTTTGCACGTCTCATCAAAGAAGTGGTGAATGCTTTGTGGTCTGGCCGAGACCTACTCGTTCAATGGTATCCATTCAGTGAAGACAGAAAGCATCCCCCTCTATCATGGCTTAAGATGGTTTGGAAGAATCTCTATATCCACTTTGCAGAGGACTTGACTTTATTTGAGGAGATGCCCCTCATCCCCAGAACAGCACTAGAAGAAGCTCAGACGTGTGTGGAGCTTATTCGACTCAGGATCCCGTCCTTCATTATTTTAGATGATGACTCGGAAGCACAGCTTCCAGAATTTTTAGCGGACATTGTACAGACACTTGGAGGAATTGTCCTTAAAAAGCTTGATCCTTCTATACAGCATCCACTGATAAAGAAGTATATTCATTCACCATTACCAAGTGCAGTTTTGCAGATCATGGAGAAGATGCCGTTGGCGAAACTGTGCAATCAGATCGCTTCGCTCCCTCCAACACACAAAGATGCTCTGAGGAAGTTCTTAGCAAGTTTGACTGATAGCAATGAAAAGGAGAAAAGGATCATTCAAGAACTGCCAATATTCAAGAGGATTAACCACTCGTCTGGCGAGGGAGTCGCCTCTTACACCAAATTGAAAGGTTGCAAAGTCTTGCATCATACAGCCAAGTTTCCACCTCACCTGCGGCTTTCCATTTCTGTAATTGACAGTAGTGACGAAGCTACCATTCGCTTGGCAAACATGCTGAGAGTGGAGAAGCTAAAGACCACTAGCTGCTTAAAGCTTGTCTTCAAAGACATTGGAAATACATTTTATTCACCGGAAGAGATACAACAGCTCATGGTATGGAGTCTTGAGAATCTGTCCTCCCTTAAGAAGGAGAATTCAAATGTGATTGAGTGGTTAATGCCATTGAAATGCATTCAGATTTCACAGGAAAAGATGGTGTCAGCCAACGAGCTGTTTGATCCTGATATAGAAGTACTACAGGACCTCTTTCATAATGAAGAAGAAATCTGTTTCCCACCTTCAGCTTTTACCTCACCAGATATTCTTCATTCTTTAAGACAGATTGGCTTAAAAAATGAAGCCAGCCTCAGAGAGAAAGACGTCGTGCAAGTGGCGAAAAGAATCGAAGCCTTACAGGCCAGTTCTTATCCAAATCTGGATGCTCTTTTAAAGAAAGCCAAGACACTCTTACTGGTTCTAAATAAGAACCCTACACTGTTGCAGTCATCTGAAGGGAAAATGGTGTTGAAGCAAATAAAGTGGGTTCCAGCCTGCAAAGAGAGACCTCCCAATTACCCAGGGTCACTAGTCTGGACAGGTGATCTCTGTAGTCTTTGTGCACCACCAGACATGTGTGATGTGGCTCATGCGATTCTAGTTGGTTCCTCAGTCCCTCTTGTCGAAAGCATCGATGCAAACCTGGAAAAAGCCCTGGGCATTTTTACCAAACCTAGCATTGGTGCTGTCTTGAAACACTTTAAAATTGTTGTGGACTGGTATACCTCGAAAACGTTTAGTGATGAAGACTACTACCAGTTCCAACATATCCTGCTGGAAATTTATGGATTCATGCACGATCACTTAGATGATGGCAAAGATTCTTTTAGGGATTTAAAATTTCCATGGGTCTGGACTGGCAAAAAATTTTGTTCCCTAGCGCAAGCAGTGATAAAACCCATTCACGATCTGGACCTTCAACCTTATTTGCACAGTGTCCCTAAAACCATGGCAAAGTTCCACCAGTTGTTTAAGGCCTGCGGGTCTATAGAGGAGCTGACATCAGATCACGTTTCTATGGTCATTCAGAAGATCTATCTCAAAAGTGAGCAAGAGCTCAGTGAACAAGAAAGCAAACAAAATCTGCACCTGATGTTGAACATTATCCGATGGCTGTACAGCAACCAGATCCCAGCAAGCCCCAGTACTCCAGTTCCTATCCACCACAGCAAGAGCCCTTCCAAGCTCCTCATGAAGCCAATTCATGAATGTTGCTATTGTGACATCAAAGTTGACGACCTTAATGACTTACTGGAAGATTCGGTGGAGCCCATCATTCTGGTGCATGAGGACATACCCATGAAAACTGCCGAGTGGTTAAAAGTGCCGTGCCTTAGTACAAGACTGATCAATCCTGAAAACATGGGATTTGAGCAATCAGGACAAAGAGAGCCACTTACGGTCAGAATAAAAAATATTTTGGAAGAGTACCCGTCAGTGTCAGATATTTTTAAAGAGCTACTTCAAAATGCCGATGATGCCAGTGCAACCGAGTGCAGCTTCCTGATCGACATGAGGAGAAATATGGACATCAGGGAGAATCTCCTGGACCCGGGGATGGCCGCTTGCCATGGCCCCGCTTTGTGGTCATTCAATAATTCCGAGTTCTCAGACTCTGATTTTGTGAATATTACCAGATTAGGAGAATCTTTAAAGAGAGGAGAAGTTGACAAAGTTGGGAAGTTTGGTCTTGGGTTTAATTCAGTGTACCACATCACTGACATTCCCATCCTCATGAGTCGAGAATTCATGATCATGTTTGATCCAAACATAAACCATATCAGTAAGCACATTAAAGACAAGTCTAATCCCGGGATCAAAATTAATTGGAGTAAACAACAGAAAAGACTGCGGAAGTTTCCCAATCAGTTCAAACCATTCATCGATGTGTTTGGCTGCCAGCTGCCTTTGACGGTAGAAGCACCTTACAGCTACCAAGGGACTCTTTTCCGGCTTTCCTTTAGAACTCAACAGGAAGCGAAAGTGAGCGAAGTCAGTGGCACTTGCTACAACACAGCAGATATTTACTCTCTGGTAGACGAATTCAGTCTCTGTGGACACCGGCTCATCATTTTCACCCAGAGTGTAAACTCAATGTATTTAAAGTACCTGAAAATTGAGGAAACCAACCCCAACTTAGCACAAGATACAATAATCATTAAAAAAAAAGTCTGCTCATCCAAAGCACTGAAAGCACCTGTTTTAAGTGTTTTAAAAGAGGCCGCTAAACTTATGAAGACTTGCAGCAGCAGCAGCGGCAGCGGCGGCATCAACAAAAAGCTTCCAACCGATGCGCCCAAGGCATCCTGCATCCTTCAGATCACAGTTGAAGAGTTTCACCACGTGTTCAGAAGGATTGCTGATTTACACTCACCGCTCTTTCGAGGCCCAGATGACGACCCGGCCGCTCTCTTTGAAATGGCCAAGTCTGGCCAAGCCAAGAAGCCATCGGATGAGTTGCCGCAGAAGACGATGGAGTGCACCACCTGGCTTCTGTGCACCTGCATGGACACAGGGGAGGCACTGACCTTTTCACTGAGTGAAAGCGGAAGGAGGCTGGGGCTTGTTCCTTGTGGTTCCATCGGAGCCCTGCTCTCTGAAGCCCAGGACCAGAAGTGGCTTGTGAAGCCACACGTTGGAGAAGTGTTCTGTTATTTACCTCTACGAATAAAAACAGGCTTGCCCGTTCACATCAATGGGTGTTTTGCTGTGACTTCCAACAGAAAGGAAATCTGGAAGACAGATACGAAAGGACGGTGGAACAGCACCTTCATGAGACATGTCGTGGTGAAAGCGTACTTGGAGGCCCTCAGCGTGTTGCGGGACCTGGCAGTGAGCGGGGAGCTGGTTGACTATAGTTACTACACTGTATGGCCCGATCCCGACCTGGTTCATGATGATTTTTCTGTAATTTGTCAAGGATTTTATGAAGATATAGCTCACGGGAAAGGGAAAGAGCTGACCAGAGTCTTCTCTGATGGATCTACATGGGTTTCCATGAAGAATGTGAGATTTCTAGATGACTCGATACTTCAAAGAAAAGATGTTGGTTCTGCAGCCTTCAAGATATTTCTAAAATACCTCAAGAAGACCGGTTCAAAAAACCTCTGTGCTGTTGAGCTTCCTTCTTCGGTGAAACTAGGCTTTGAGGAAGCCGGCTGCAAGCAGATCCTTCTCGAAAATACATTTTCGGAGAAGCAGTTTTTCTCAGAAGTGTTTTTCCCAAATATCCAAGAAATTGAGGCAGAATTTAGAGACCCTTTAATGAACTTTGTGCTAAATGAAAAAGTTGATGAGTTCTCCGGGATTCTTCGTGTTACTCCCTGCATCCCTTGCTCTTTGGAGGGACACCCTTTGGTTTTACCATCAAGATTGATCCATCCAGAAGGGCGGGTTGCAAAGCTATTTGATATCAAAGATGGGCGATTTCCCTACGGTTCCACTCAGGATTATCTTAATCCCATTATTTTGATTAAACTAGTTCAGTTAGGTATGGCCAAAGACGACATTCTATGGGACGACATGCTGGAACGGGCTGAGTCAGTAGCTGAAATTAATAAAAGTGACCATGCTGCAGCGTGTCTAAGAAGTAGTATCCTATTAAATCTTATTGATGAGAAACTAAAGATCAGGGATCCCAGAGCAAAAGATTTCGCTGCAAAATTTCAAACAATCCCCTTCCTTCCATTTTTAACGAAACCAGCCGGCTTTTCCTTGGAATGGAAAGGTAACGGTTTTAAACCTGAAACCATGTTTGCAGCTACAGATGTGTACACAGCGGAGCATCAGGATGTCGTGTGTCTTTTACAACCAATACTGAATGAAAATTCCCATTCCTTCAGAGGCTGCGGCTCAGTGTCACTGGCTGTCAAAGACTTTCTGGGATTACTGAAGAAGCCAACAGTTGAGCTGGTTATAAATCAGCTGAAAGAAGTCGCCAAATCAGTGGACGATGGCATTACATTATATCAGGAAAATATCACTAATGCTTGCTACAAATACCTTCATGAGGTCATGATGCAGAATGAAGCCACCAAGGCAACAATCATCGAACACTTGAAACCCCGTAGCTTCATTCTCGTAGAAAATGCGTACGTCGACCCCGAAAAGGTCTCTTTCCATTTGAATTTTGAAGCCGCGCCCTATCTTTATCAGCTCCCTAATAAGTATAAAAATAATTTCCGAGAACTGTTTGAAAGTGTGGGTGTGAGGCAGTCATTTGTGGTCGAAGATTTTGCCCTTGTTTTGCAATCTATCGATCAAGAAAGAGGGAAAAAGCAAATAACGGAAGAGAATTTTCAGCTTTGCCGGCGAATAATCAGTGAAGGGATATGGAGCCTCATTAGAGAAAAGAAACAGGAATTTTGTGAGAAAAAATACGGCAAAATATTACTGCCGGACACGAACCTGGTCCTCCTCCCTGCCAAGTCTTTATGCTACAATGATTGTCCCTGGATAAAAGTGAAAGATACCACTGTCAAATATTGCCACGCTGATATTCCCAGGGAAGTGGCTGTCAAACTGGGGGCAGTGCCAAAGCGGCATAAAGCCTTAGAAAGATACGCTTCCAACATCTGCTTCACAACACTTGGCACCGAGTTTGGACAGAAAGAAAAGCTGACCAGCAGGATTAAGAGTATTCTTAATGCCTATCCTTCAGAAAGGGAAATGTTGAAAGAGCTGCTTCAGAATGCCGATGACGCCAAAGCCACAGAGATCTGCTTTGTGTTTGACCCTAGACAACACCCAGTTGATAGGATCTTCGATGATAAATGGGCCCCTCTGCAAGGGCCCGCGCTGTGTGTTTATAACAATCAGCCTTTTACAGAAGACGATGTCAGAGGAATTCAGAATCTCGGGAAAGGCACCAAAGAAGGCAATCCATGTAAAACGGGACAGTATGGAATAGGATTTAATTCTGTCTATCATATTACAGACTGCCCGTCTTTCATCTCCGGCAATGACATCCTGTGCATTTTTGACCCCCACGCCCGTTACGCACCGGGCGCCACGTCTGTCAGCCCTGGGCGCATGTTTCGAGATCTGGACTCCGATTTTCGGACCCAGTTCTCCGATGTTCTGGATCTCTATCTGGGGACCCACTTCAAACTGGATAACTGCACCATGTTTCGGTTCCCGCTTCGTAATACAGACATGGCAAAAGTCTCAGAAATTTCCTCCGTTCCATCCTCAGACAGGATGGTCCAGAACCTGTTGGACAAGTTGCGCTCGGATGGGGCAGAGCTCCTCATGTTCCTGAATCACATGGAAAAAATTTCTATTTGTGAAATAGACAAAGTGAGCGGCGCTCTCAATGTGCTCTATTCCGTCAGGGGCAAAATCACCGACGGAGACAGACTGAAAAGGAAGCAATTCCATGCCTCCGTAATCGACAGCGTGAGCAAAAAGAGGCAGCTCAAAGACATCCCGGTCCAACAGATCACCTACACAATGGACACTGAAGATTCGGAAGGCAATCTCACCACCTGGCTGATATGTAACAGGTCAGGCTTTTCCAGCATGGAGAAGGTGTCCAAGAGTGTCGTATCTGCTCACAAGAACCAAGACATTACTCTCTTCCCACGCGGCGGAGTAGCTGCCTGCATCACTCACAACTATAAAAAACCCCACCGGGCCTTCTGCTTTCTGCCCCTGTCTCTGGAGACCGGGCTGCCTTTTCACGTGAATGGCCACTTTGCTCTGGATTCGGCCCGGAGGAACCTGTGGCGGGACGATGACGGAGTTGGCGTCCGCAGCGACTGGAACAGCAGTCTCATGACGGCACTAATAGCGCCTGCGTATGTGGAGTTGCTCATCCAATTAAAAAAGCGCTACTTCTCTGGCTCCGACCCGACCATGTCGGTTCTGCAGAACACGCCAGCTCACGTCGTAAAGGATACGCTGAAAAAGTTCTTATCCTTCTTCCCAGTCAACAGGCTCGACCTGCAGCCAGATTTGTACTGCCTAGTGAAAGCTCTATACAGCTGCATTCACGAAGACAGGAAGCGCCTTCTACCTGTTGTCCGGGCTCCCAATATCGATGGCTCAGATTTGCACTCTGCAGTTATAATCACTTGGATTAACATGTCGTCTTCAAACAAAACAAGACCATTTTTTGACAATTTGCTCCAGGATGAGTTACAGCACCTGAAAAATGCAGATTACAACATCACTACACGCAAAACAGTAGCAGAAAACGTCTACAGACTGAAACATCTGCTGTTAGAAATCGGCTTCAACCTGGTTTATAACTGTGACGAAACGGCTAATCTTTACCATTGTCTTATAGATGCAGATATTCCTGTTAGCTACGTAACTCCTGCTGATGTTCGATCTTTTTTAATGACGTTTTCCTCTCCTGATACCAACTGTCATATTGGGAAGCTGCCTTGCCGCCTTCAACAGACTAACCTAAAACTTTTTCACAGTTTGAAACTTCTAGTTGATTATTGTTTTAAGGATGCAGAAGAAAATGAGATGGAAGTAGAGGGACTGCCCCTCCTCATCACCCTGGACAGTGTTTTGCAAACGTTTGATGCCAAACGGCCCAAGTTTCTAACAACTTACCATGAATTGATTCCATCCCGCAAAGATTTGTTTATGAATACACTATACTTGAAATATAGTAACCTCTTATTGAGCTGTAACGTTGCAAAAGTGTTCGACATTTCCAGCTTTGCTGATCTTCTGTCCTCCGTACTGCCTCGCGAATATAAGACCAAAAATTGTACGCGGTGGAAAGACAATTTTGCGAGTGAGTCCTGGCTAAAGAACACGTGGCATTTTATAAGTGAATCTGTGAGTGCGAAAGAAGGACAGGAAGAAACAAAGCCAACGAAGTTCGACATTGTTGTTGACACCCTAAAAGACTGGGCATTGCTCCCAGGGACAAAATTCACTGTCTCAGGGAATCAGCTTGTGGTCCCAGAAGGAGACGTTCTGCTTCCTCTGAGCCTTATGCATATAGCCGTTTTTCCAAATGCCCAGACCGATAAAGTTTTTCATGCCCTAATGAAAGCCGGCTGCATTCAGCTTGCTTTGAACAAAATCTGCTCCAAAGACAGTGCATTTGTCCCCCTGTTGTCATGCCACACGGCAAACATAGAGAGCCCCGCGAGCATTTTGAAGGCCGTGCATTATATGGTCCAAACGTCCACATTTAGAACTGAAAAACTAGTGGAGAATGACTTTGAGGCACTCTTGATGTATTTCAACTGTAATTTGAGCCACCTGATGGCACAAGATGACATTAAGATTCTAAAGTCACTCCCATGTTACAAATCCATAAGTGGTCGATACATGAGCATCGCAAAATTTGGAACCTGCTACGTACTTACAAAAAGTATCCCTTCAGCTGAAGTGGACAAATGGACACAGTCATCGTCATCTGCCTTCCTGGAAGAAAAGATGCATCTTAAGGAACTCTACGAGATGGTGGGCTGCGTGCCGGTAGATGATCTCGAGGTCTACTTGAAGCACCTTTTACCAAAAATTGAAAACCTGTCATACGATGCCAAACTCGAGCACTTGATCTACCTTAAGAACAGATTATCTAGTATTGAGGAGACATCCGAGATTAAGGAACAGCTTTTTGAGAAATTGGAAAGCTTGACGGTAATCCATGATGCCAACAGCCGACTAAAGCAAACGAAGCATTTCTATGACAGGACTGTGAGGGTGTTTGAAGTGATGCTGCCTGAGAAATTCTTTATTCCTAAGGATTTCTTTAAGAAACTGGAGCAGCTCATAAAACCCAAGAACCAAGCTTCGTTTATGACCTCCTGGGTGGAATTCTTAAGAAATATTGGACTGAAACATATACTTTCTCAGCAACAGTTGCTCCAGTTCGCTAAGGAAATCAGTGTGAGGGCTAATACAGAAAACTGGTCGAAGGAGACATTGCAAAGCACAGTTGATATCCTCCTCCATCATATATTCCAAGAGCGAACGGACTTGCTCTCTGGAAATTTCCTGAAAGAGCTCTCCTTGATTCCATTCCTGTGTCCTGAGAGGGCGCCTGCTGAGTTCATCCGATTCCATCCTCAGTATCAGGAGGTGAACGGAACACTTCCTCTGATCAAATTCAACGGAGCACAAGTCAACCCTAAATTCAAGCAGTGTGACGTGCTGCAGCTTTTATGGACCTCCTGCCCTATTCTTCCAGAGAAGGCCACCCCTCTGGTCATCAAAGAGCAGGAAGCTTGTGACCTTGGCCCACAAGAGCAGCTTGAACAAGTTTTAAGTATGCTGAACGTTAACTTGGACCCCCCCGTTGATAAGGTCATCAATAACTGCAGAAACGTATGCAACATTACGACTTTGGATGAAGAAATGGTGAAAACCAGAGCGAAGGTCTTACGGAGCATCTACGAATTTCTTAGTGCGGAAAAAAGGGAGTTCCGGTTTCAGCTGCGGGGGGTTGCCTTTGTGATGGTAGAAGATGGTTGGAAACTTCTGAAGCCCGAGGAGGTCGTGATCAATCTAGAATATGAATCTGACTTTAAACCTTATTTGTACAAGCTACCTTTAGAACTTGGCACATTTCATCAGCTGTTCAAACATCTAGGTACTGAAGATATTATCTCGACCAAGCAATATGTTGAAGTGTTGAGCCGCATCTTCAAGAATTCTGAAGGCAAGCAGTTAGATCCCAATGAAATGCGTACAGTTAAGAGAGTTGTTTCAGGGTTGTTCAAGAGTCTACAGAACGATTCAGTCAAGGTTAGGAGCGATCTTGAGAACGTACGAGACCTTGTCCTTTACCTTCCAAGCCAAGACGGTAGATTGGTGAAGTCGAGCATCTTAGTGTTCGACGACGCGCCACATTATAAAAGTAGAATTCAGGGGCATATCGGTGTTCAGATGCTGGTGGATCTCAGCCAGTGCTATTTAGGGAAAGACCACGGATTTCACACCAAGTTGATCATGCTCTTTCCTCAGAAACTCAGGCCCCGCCTACTGAGCAGCATTCTGGAAGAACAGTTAGATGAAGAGACTCCCAAAGTCTGTCAGTTCGGAGCCTTGTGTTCCCTTCAGGGGAGACTGCAGCTGCTCCTGTCTTCAGAACAGTTCATCACAGGGCTAATCCGAATCATGAAGCATGAAAACGACAATGCTTTCCTGGCCAACGAAGAAAAAGCCGTCAGACTTTGCAAAGCCCTCCGAGAAGGACTGAAAGTTTCCTGTTTTGAAAAACTTCAAACAACGTTAAGAGTTAAAGGCTTTAACCCCATCCCCCACAGCCGAAGTGAAACGTTTGCCTTTTTGAAGCGGTTTGGGAATGCAGTCATTTTAGTCTACATTCAGCACTCGGACAGTAAAGACATTAACTTTCTCCTAGCGCTAGCCATGACACTGAAGTCGGCAACTGACAATCTGATTTCAGACACTTCCTATTTAATTGCTATGCTAGGCTGCAATGATATTTACAGGATCAGTGAGAAGCTTGACAGTTTAGGAGTGAAATATGACTCTTCAGAACCATCCAAACTTGAACTTCCTATGCCGGGCACTCCCATACCCGCGGAAATCCATTACACTCTGCTCATGGACCCAATGAATGTTTTTTACCCAGGAGAATATGTTGGCTACCTTGTGGACGCGGAAGGTGGTGATATCTACGGGTCATACCAGCCCACGTACACATATGCAATTATTGTACAAGAAGTTGAAAGAGAAGACGCGGACAACTGTAGTTTTCTAGGGAAGATCTATCAGATTGATATCGGCTACAGTGAGTATAAGATAGTGAGCTCTCTCGATCTCTATAAGTTTTCCAGGCCCGATGAAAGTTCTCAAAACAGGGACAGCGCACCGTCCACCCCGACCAGCCCCACGGAGTTCCTGGCTCCGGGAGTACGGAGCATCCCTTCTCTTTTCTCCGGCAGAGAGAGCCACAAGACCCCGTCTTCAAAACCTCAGTCCCCCAAGAAACTGAAGGTTCACTCTTTACCAGAAATCCTCAAAGAAGTGACGTCCGTGGTGGAGCAAGCTTGGAAGCTTCCGGAATCCGAAAGGAAAAAGATCATTCGACGCTTGTATTTGAAATGGCACCCGGACAAAAATCCCGAGAATCACGACCTCGCGAATGAGGTTTTTAAGCATTTGCAGAACGAAATCAACCGGCTAGAGAAGCAGACCTTTCTAGATCACAATGCAGACCGCGCCTCGAGGCGGACTTTTTCCACGTCTGCGTCCCGCTTTCAGTCCGACAAGTATTCCTTTCAGAGATTTTATACCTCCTGGAACCAAGAAGCAACGAGTCATAAGTCTGAGAGGCAGCAGCAAAACAGAGAAAAAGGCCCGCCCGCAGCCGGACAGACCTACTCACATAGGTTCTTCGTCCCGCCCACCTTCAAGTCCGTGGGGAATCCCGTGGAAGCCCGCAGGTGGCTGAGACAAGCGAGAGCAAACTTCTCAGCGGCCAGGAATGACCTGCATAAAAACGCCAACGAGTGGGTGTGCTTCAAATGTTACCTCTCCACCAAGCTAGCGCTGATTGCGGCTGACTACGCTGTGCGGGGCAAGTCCGACAAAGACGTGAAGCCCACTGCCCTGGCGCAGAAAATCGAGGAGTACAGTCAGCAGCTGGAAGGACTGACAAACGACGTGCACACGCTGGAAGCCTATGGCGTGGACAGCCTCAAAACAAGATACCCCGACTTGTTGCCTTTCCCACAGATTCCCAATGACAGGTTCACTTCTGAGGTGGCGATGAGGGTGATGGAATGTACCGCTTGTATCATCATAAAGCTGGAGAATTTCATCCAGCAGAAAGTGTGAGGGACGTCGACACACGGAGCACAGGGATCTATGGCTGTTCATTTCACTCCCTTCCTTGCCACATATCTAGGAATGGTGAAGCACACTGCAGAATGTTCTGGAAGGATTTAGGGCTGCCGATCAATGTGAGTACCAAGAAGAAACCCCAGGCGAATGTAAAACACAGTGAATTTCGAGAAGCTAATGAACCGAGCCCTGTGTGGACTATGGGACTCAGGACTGAACTGCACTTTATATAACCAAAGCTTAACAGTTTCTTAGATAAGCGTCTATATCTGTTTCTGGTTAAGATGAATTGAATTTTAGGTTTGTATCTTGCCACTTTTGAAGGAACTCATGAAACACTGGACGTAATCATTGATTTAAACAAATTAGAGGAAGGAACTCAAGCCTTTGCGGTTGATTTTTTTGTTTTTTGTTTTAAAAGTGGACCTGTTTTTGGATGCATTGTGTTATTATTGTATTCTCATCAGCTGGATCTGATTAGGAATTTGATGCCATTTGACATCAGTGTATTTAAATGGTACAGTATTTCAGTCCTGAGTGTGACTTGAAGCGCATGCAGACTTACTTCCCAGAGTGCACTGAGTGCATTTTGGCCTTTATTTAAAGTGTTTTTTCACACCTCCTTTGTTTACAGGGTCCCCCATGTGGTGGGGATTGCACAGGGGGGCAGTCCTTCCAGCCTGATGTGAAGATCGTTTCTGGAAACTGCTTCCCACAGAGCAACACTCATCATTTGCTTTTTATGTTTGCTGCCCCGTGTCTGCCACGTGTCGTCACTTGTGTCGTGTGGCTGAACACGATGCAGATGCTTGTGTCATGTCTTAACGGTGCTGCAGTTAAAAAAAAAAAAAAGACTTTCAACGAGGCACTTGGTGGGTTTTATTTTACTTTGTTTTATTTCAAAAACGTTAAAAAGTTGTAAAATCTTTGTGACAACGAATCCAGTTGTCCTTGAAAAGAGGAATGAATTAATGGCTTCTGCTTTTCCCCCATGAGTGAGCCAGCGATGACATTTTATTTTCATCATGCTCAAATAGATTTATGGTCACAGGTTTCTATTTCAGAATGTAAGAGAATAGTAATTAGTTTACCTAAGTGTACTGGCTGTAAATGATGCAAAACACAGTATTTTATGCAAGTAAGGGCTTAAGGAATATGTTAAAACTTAATTATTTTTTTTAACTTTTATTGGTAATAAGGAATGTTTGCGCCTTGGAAATTGTATTGCTTCTGGATGTGAAGCCAAGTAATTATTTCTGCTGTTATATTAAGTGCCATAATTTTAATAAAGTAAAATGTATATATGAAGTCTTTGTAACTGGTATTTCCTGAGAAACAGTTCATTGGAAATTACGCTTGTTATCTCCCTGTATTAAGATCTGGTGTGTGCATCTGTGTGGCTTTACTGGGGGAAGCAGAATAGAGTTTTTTTTAATCTATTTTTATGCTGAAACTTTAGTGGGTGCATTTTTCTTTTACACGGTTGTTGACTATGAAGTGCTTATTACATACTAGGTTTACTAGATACTGATTTTGTTAAGACTTTATTTTACTTCACTTTTTCAAAGAATAATATTAGTTGATGCGGATCGTGTATATATGTATTTGGAAATGTTGTTGTTACGTGCCGCTGTCGATTCCGACCCATAGCAACCCTCTATAGGGTTTCCAAGGAGCAGCTGGTGGGCTTGAACCACGGACCTTGCAGTTCAGATGACTTTGCAGTCTGACGCATTAGCCCACAGCGCCACATATGGTTCTCTGTTGATTGGCACAGTGGCTGCAGAAACCTGCTCAAGTGTAACAATTGTGAGGCTGGCGAAGGACCAGGCAGTGTGTTTAGCTCTGCTGTGCATGGAGTTGGAACCAACTCGACGGCACCAAACAACAAAAACAGGCCAAAGGAGCCTGGTGGCTTTGAGGACTAAGTGTTGGGCTCCTAACTGCAATGTTAGATGGTTGAAGCCACCACTCGCTCGCTCCTTTGAGAGAACAGCGAGGCAGTCAATCTCATTCCAAAAACATTTTACAGTGTTGGAAACCTTGTGAGGCAGTTCTACATTGTACCCTAGGGGTTGCTGTGTGTCTGAATGGACTCTGAGCCAATGCGTTTTACAGGTAGAGAGCCGAGTTGGATGTCTAAAGGTGGTTCATACTTGAACCTCAACAGAGATGAAATTTTAATCTCCGTACCTGAGGCTCAAGTCTTCAAAGTCAGACAGACAAGGATGTCTGATGCCCACTGTTGTTGGTAAGTGCCCTCAAGTTGGTCTGACTCATAGCAATCCTGTGTAGGGTTTCTTAGACTGTAAATCTTTTTTGAGAGCAGAAAGCCTCAAATTTTTCCAGAAGAGCAGTTAGTGGATTTGAACTGCTAACCAAAAAAGGTTAGCATTCCAGTGCTTTATCCTACGCGCCACACCAGGACCTCGTTGATAGTTCAGGGGCCCAAAATATAGCCTTATTTCTTTTCCAATGTATGAACCATGAAAAAGCAAACGAGTCCGAATGTTAAAAATCAAAACAACAGCTTTGATAGTAAAGAAAAGCTTGATTTGCAGCCACATGGGTTTCCTAAGATTTCACTCAGGACTATAATTAATGCTTCTCTCTCATATAAACGCTTCCCTCTCAGACAGGCTGATGGCAGGCCCCCCTGCTCACTTAGCTGACTCTGTGAAGGCGTGCTAACAGTCACCCTTTCTGACATCAGAAATATCCAGATACAGGGGGGAGTCCACATTATCTGGGTCCTCTCTCCAATCCCTGGAGGGAGTCCTGCAGAGGGGTGCCGAGGAGGGTGATAGCTGTTATATAAGGGCGTGTGTTTCCTGGGGGCAGGTCCCCACACTTTGTTGTTTGTTATTGTTAAGTGATGTCCAGTTGGTTCCAACTCATAGCAACCCTATGTAGGGTTTCCGAGGAGCGACTGGTGAGCTTGAACCACTGACCTATGATTCAAACCAACCTGGCAGTCCAGCGCAGTAACCCACAGCACCACATCAGGACTCCGCAACTGGCATTCAAAGAGTCCCCTTCCCTGATGAAAACAGTGCTTCTCACTTTATTAGACTCCACGGCTACTTCTTTTGTGGTTTGACAGCCGCATCATCGCATGTCTCAGAACTCTGGGTCGGGCCTAAACAAAGATGCCAGAGGCACGGGTCTAAGGCAGTGCTAAGGGAAAAAGGCACACAGTGCGGTTTCAGTTCTGTCTCCTAGGAGGGCCTGGGCTTTGTGCGAGTAAGCGAAAGTACTTCCAAGACGCCCAGCGCATTTCCAACACTTACCATCCAAGTCTTGTTTATGATGACATTAGCTTCAGTGCTACTTGCTTTATAACTACATAGTGTAGTGGTTACAAATCAGGCTGCTAATCTCAAGGTCGGCAGTTCGAAACTACCAGCCGTTCCGTGGGAGAAAGATGAGGCGTTCTGCTCCTGTAAAGATTTACTGCCTCGGAAACCCTGTTCAGGGTCACGATGAGTCGGAACCGACTCCACGGTACTTACCAACAACAACCACCACCTGATAGGCTGGGGCTTGACCCACCCAGCGGCTACACAGAACAATATCTGGTAATCTGCTTCCTAATAGCTGGTTGTTGTTGCTTTTTGGAAACAGTGTGTGGTCACTGTTAGTCAGCACTTAACAGTAACAGTCACTACATAACCATTTATACCAAAGAGTAACAGTCTAGATACCTCATGAGGTCTGCTCATAATCATGGTCTTGAGCTTAACTAAAAAACAAACTTTGAGCTTTAATGTATAATATGTTTAAGAAAGCAGATTTATGTCATGCATTTTAGAAGGTACCCTATGTAGAAGTTTTGATCTAACAAGAATCCCTCCGTATTACTCTAGAGAAAGCAGCTATCCATAACGGCCTTTTCCCATTTTATAAAACTGACAGCAACCCATTGTCATCGTGTTGACTCTGACTCAGCCATCTTTTATTGGGTTTCTGAGACTTCAAGGGCGCACACAACCTTGTCTGTCTCCCTTAGAGCAGCTGGTGGGTTTGAACGCTGACCTTGAGGTTAGCAACCCAAAGTCTAACCCACAGTGCCATGAGGATTCCTTATTTCCAGATATTAAGGAGCCAAAAGATCGATCCTTCCATTCAGTAGGTTCTATTCTCCATACTTGCTCCTTGGCAGTTTTTCTTGACTTTATCATCTGAGCACCAGTTTTTTTTTTTAACTGTTTTATTGTGAATTATGCGATAGTTTACATGGGAGAACATTACCTTTACATTCATCCTATCGTATATCATTTCATTGCCATGGTTACAATCCCCTCCGTGCATCATCAACCAACCAAAGGGTATTATACCCTGCAAGC